ACACGACTTCAAGGAGACATAGAAGCACTGAGACCACTGTTAAACTAACATGAACCCAATATTTGGACGATATCGCAATCACCACCAACCACCACAACAACAACAAACAGCAACAACAACAAACTGCAACAACAACAAACAGCAACAACTAAACTATAACACAAAATAGCAACAACAAAAACACAGAACTAAAGAAAATTGAAAAAAAAATTGCACCGAAAACTGAAGTGAAATAAAATTTAAAAAAAAGCTAAAAATAAACAATCGAGTTAACCTGGAACTTTTAAAATGAGTTTTATAGGAATGTGTGTTTGTGAGTGTGTATATGTGAGTGTCTATGTGTGAGTATATATATGTGAGTGTCTATGTGTGAGTGTGTATATGTGAGTGTCTATGTGTGAGTGTGTATATGTGAGTGCCTATGTGTGAGTGCGTATATGTGAGTGTCTATGTGTGAGTGCGTATATGTGATGTGTGTGGCGGGTGCAAAATGTTACCCTGGTGCCAGTGAATATTTTCAACATTTAATGGCTTTTTTTCTAAATTCCGTAGATTTTATTTCTTTATTTCACACAAAATTTTCAAAATTTTCCTCTTTCATGGTCTGGAGGAACGGGATTCACCCGTGTGTGTACTCCAGTAATGTATTTATTTTCCTTCAATGAATCATACATCTCTATGTGTTCTACATACGTACTGATACACTCATTAAGACATAACACATATAAAAACACAAGCAAGCAGTCACACACACACACATGCAAAAATATACAGACAAATACACACACATACAAACACACATATACATAGAATCACACACAGACGAACAAACAAACACACACACACACACACACACACGTCTATAAACAAACCAGTCTCAATTAAATAAACATCCATCATATGATCGTGTCAGTTTTTGATGCAAATTTATCATTTTTGTCACGGCGACAATGAATGTTTGCCTCTGGTAGATTTGTTGCAGAAAGTTATTTCGTTTTTTTTAATTTTATTATAATTTTGATATTATTTTATAATTTTCTAATAAAATCTAATGTACCATAGTGTACCATATTATTAACTCAAATATTTAAATCTTTTATGGATATTTGTTGCGTTAAAATAATACTGACACACATCTTTAATTGTCCATCTATATGTATGCATGCCTGCATACATACATGCATGCATGCATACACATACATACAGACATACACTCACACATACTCATACATACATACGCACGCACACACACACATATACATACTATACACACACATACATTATTCACCAAACGAAAATGGACAGGTTTGGTTGGTAGGCTTGGTTGGGTGGTGTGCAATCATTCGAAGATATTCAACAAAACTGGCAATCCATCATTGCTGCTTAATGACATTGTTATATATCCATACATCATTGTTTGTGTCATTTGTCATCGTTATGTTAAACTGAGAGGTTTCGTGAATTTACTGTTTAAAATCTCACGTTTATGTCATGTTTTAAAATATAAACCTTTCAGAATGAAGACAGATAGGTTAAACGTTTGATTCACGACTCAAAGGTTGCCGGTTCGAATCCCTCCCTCTCCTTGGTTACTCTTTTGAAATGTGATTTATTTGGTTCTTATTGGCCATTAAAAAAATCAAGATATCAATAGGGAACTCATTCTGAGAGTATCTGAACAACAAAAACGATGCAACAAAAATTTGAAATATTTCTGTTTGTTTTTGCACTACAATTAATATCATATGGTGTTTTTAAAAATTCATCGTTTTTCTACAACTACTTCTTTACTGATGTTGTTGTCGTCATGACATAAAATGAAATACTTCACATGATCCAAACTTCTCAAGGAATAATTTTAAATACTTTTTTCAGTCAAAAGGCTTATAATATAACGACAAACAATAGAATTATTATAATATAATAAACTTTATTTTAATATTATTATACGTTATTTTATGGTTTTTATTTTATTTATTTAAATAATTAAAAAAACTTATTTACTCGTATGGTACAGGCAACACTGGCGAGCAAACGAAAGATATTTATTTTTCTTCGGAGTGGAACTTCTCTTTAAAAAATAAACAAACTCGTAAAAAAAATGTTAAAAAGCAATTGTTAGAAAATAATAATATAACTAAAATGATGAACAGAAACGTTTATGCGTGTGCGTGCGTGCATGTGTGTGTGGTGTGTGTATGTGTGTGTGTGATAAAAAGTATTTGATTTCGAATGGCTAATGATTTCAGGATGCTTTTTGGATGAGTGGATGAAATGAAAAAAATTTTTTATTATAAAAAAATGAATTTTTTTAAAACGTTGACAAATTGAATTGTTTGTAAAAATTTTTAGATTGTGGGTTTGAGAAAAAAGTGTTTTAAAATGGGGAAGTTTTTTTAGGATCAAGTTTCAGTGTGAGATGAGATGATTTTCATATGATTTTTTTATTTGAATTTTAATTTTCAATTAAAGATGTTTAATTGTGAAGTTCATTTGATGCAGACACCTTAAGCAGTTTTTCATAAAATTCATCCATCCATCCATCTATTCAATCCATTTGTTCGTCTATTCATCTAATCCATTCGTCCATTTTTACTCATTCATTCACTCATTTTTTCGTTCGTACATTCATTCATTCACCCGTAAGTTAATCAAATGGTTTAATCATTAAATTGATATTTTTTTTTGAAAAATATTTAAATTGTTTTTACTTGATAACATAAATCTTTCTAACGCTTCGAAGTTTATTAAACAGAAGTAAATTATATCTTTCATTTATTATGAAATTGATTAATCAATTAATTGATTAATTGATATTTAATTAACCAATTAAATCAACCAATCACCGTGCAGATTTTTGAGGGCAACGTGGATTCGTACTCAGTGAAGCACACGTACATGGAGAGGCCCATTCTGACCAGGTTCGTACGCATACACGTCCTCCAGTGGAACAAGCACCCCTCCCTTAGAGTCGAGTTCATCGGATGTCAAGGTCAGACTCGAGCCGAACTTGATTTGTGATTTGTGAATAATTTCATAAATTATGATAATAACAACCTAAGAAATAAATTTACACAAGTATTAACAAGTTTTTTTTTACATCGAGTGTGAATGTTCTGACGCAACGTTTAAACGTCTCCACCCACCTGTAGCTTGCAACTTCGAGATCAGCCTGCCACCTTACGGCAAAATCGTGTCCTCCTCGGAGAAGAAATCTCGAAATCTCAATACTTGCCAATCAAATCACGGTCACATGATCACTAACAAGGGCTGGTGCCCCAGAAGAGATAATGGTAAGAAAGATTATACTTTGTCTTAAAATGGAGTTAATTGATAACTCAAATGATTAATGTTACTGTTAAATTATCACCAACTTGCCCTACCGAGCAGTAAGGCAGTGGATTCAAGTGGACGTTGGACCGCCGACAATTGCGACGGCCCTCGTGACAGCTGGCCGGGGTGACAAGGGCAGACAACATTGGGTCACTCAGTTCACCCTCACGTACAGCAACGACACTGAAAATTGGATCAACTACAGATTGCCATCCAGGCCGAAAGAAGATTTCGTTAGTGAAGATTTGTGATTTTTTGATGTGATGAAGTTTTTGTGGTTGTTGAGTTCGCTGTTGAAAATTTTGCTTCCGTAGAAGTCGTTTTAACGTTAAATGTTTCAAAGTCCTCTAATGCTCATACAAATTTATCAAGTCAATTCATTTTTTAGGTATTCAACGGAAATGACGAAAAATATTCGGAGAAAATAAATTTCCTCTCCCACCCAATCACAGCTCGTTACTTCAGATTTCACCCAATAAGATGGCACCGTCACATTTCTATGAGAGTGGCTGTCATTGGCTGCCCTTACGAAGGTCACTTCATGAATATTTAAATGAGGGTCAGATTATTATAATGGGAGCAGTGAATATTTTAATGAGCGATAGGAATAATAAAAATAAATATAATAAAAATAATATTATTATTGTAATATTAAGACCGATATAAATACGACTTTTGCCATATTTTATCCACTCCCACCTAACATATATTTTCAAATTTAAAATATTTAAAAAAATTTGACAAAAAGAAGGTAACAATGAAAAATAAAAAGTTAACAACAACAACAATAATAATAATATCAATAATAATAATATCAATAATAATAATTATTATTATGATTATTAATATTAATAATAATTAATTAATAATTATAATTATTATTAATATTATTATTATTTGTTATATAGGTTCATGCACTGATGAATTCATGAGAGTTAATGACGACACGCCGTGTGGTGAGTGAAAAATATAATAATGATGATAATAATAATAATAATAATAACAATAATAAAAATAATAACTATAACAATAACGATCACCATCATCTTTATCATCATCATCATTGTCGTCGTCATCACCACTATCTAACAACAAACCCCAGTTGAGAACCTGGCTTACAACAAAAACACCTGGATAAGCAGTAGCAGAACCTCAGGCAACAAGAAGAGACACGCGAGGCATCAGTGGACCAGGGCAGTCCCCTTCATCCCCACCAACACTTTTTTAATACCCCCTTTCAACAATAATAATAATAATAATAATAACAACAACATGGACAACAAAAACTACAATAACATCAACAAAGTAAATAAAAACAATAAGTATAGTGAGAGCGGAAGTTACGATGTGAACGATAATATAAATAATAATAATAATAATAAGACCAACAATAATAATAATAATAATAACCAGGGTTATAAAATGAGTGCTATTAATAACGATGGAAATTCCCAGTTTCAATCTCCGAGTTGCTTCGTCCTGGACAACTTCGGTGGTCACCAGCCGATCTGGCTGGTTGACCTGAGGAGGAAGTACCTGGTCAGTGGGATCATCATCAAAACTCCTATGTCTGGTCTCCATGGCGACGATGATGGTGAGTGAATGATGGTGAGGATGATGATGGTGATTTTGATGATAGTGATGGTGGAGGTAAAGTATTTTGCAAAGAATGTTGATGAGCAATGAATGTGGTTATAATAAAAAAATAGAGATTGAAATGACGTTTGGCTGACGATGTATAAATATCAGAGGTTGGGACAACTTAAACGTTAAAAAATAAATAAACATTTTTAAAAATACAATTAAAATCATTAATCGAAACTAAACTAATAAATATTTCCAAACAATCACCTACCTGATAGATGCAATATCCTCCCGAAGTGCAAAAGATTCGATGCGACAGTTCATGCAAGACATCGACAAACTCATCATCTACCTGGACGATCACGACACCAAAGAACAAATAACCAAACCTGAAAATATTTGTGGCATCGTGTGGGCTGTCGATGGAGCCCTGTACGAGCCCCGCATCCACGTGACGTGCAGCCAGCCAATCAGAGCACGCTACGTGTACATTGAGGCCTGGGGCTTGGAGAAGGCGAACAGTAGAATGTTCGCAACCCTCTGTGAGATTGAGATTTATGAATAATTATAATCCCGATACTACTACTACTACTACTACTACTACTACTACTACTACTACTACTACTACTACTACTACTACTACTACTACTACTACTTCTTTTTCTTTTTCTTCTTCTTCTACTACTACTACTAATAATAATTATATTATTATAATTAATTATAGCTGTTGTATTTTTTTATAACACGCATTGTTTTCTGAATTTTCGTTTATATATTTATGAAAATGTTTTTTCGCCACAAGAATGATAGATAGCTAGTAATTTATTTTCATACAATTAACTTGTTCGTGTGTACAAATAAAAGGAAGATAAATTCGATTGAAATTTGTGTCAGATTTTTTTTTGTAGAAATCGTAAGAAATTTATTTTACAACTTACGTCAGTGAGGATGTTTCTTTAAAGGTAAAATATTTTCAAAGAAGTGGATTTTCCTTGATTGTCGTAGTTGTAATAATTATTTCGTTCATGTATCAATTGTGTTTTTTTATTATTTATTTTAACGCGTTTGTCTACTCTTCTCACAAACAAACTCCAAATTTCCTGAAAATAAAAGTGAAAAAATATCACATTAACGATAATGACTTGGTCGGAAACCTACTTCTTCTAGTACTATCGCTACTACCACTACTACTACCACTACTACTACTACTACTTCTACTACTACTATTACTACTACTACTACTATCGCTACTACTACTACTATCACTACTACTCCACTACTATTACTACTACTTCTACTACTACTATTACTACTACTACTATCGCTACTACTACTACTACTACCATTACTACTACTACTACTTCTACTACTACTATTACTACTACTACTACTATCGCTACTACTACTACTATCACTACTACTCTACTACTATTACTACTAATACTACTACTACTACTACTACTACTATCGCTACTACTACTACTATCACTACTACTCCACTACTATTACTACTACTACTACTACTACTACTACTACTACTACTACTACTACTATCACTACTACTACTACTACTACTACTGTTGCTACTACTACAACTAATAATTCTTATCCAACTTTTTTTTTTTTTTTATTATTCTTTAAAAATCAGGATCTGATTTTGATGATGATGATAAAAATAATAATAGAAATAATGATATTATAATAGAAATTATAATTTTTTAAGATTAACCTATAATTTTTTTCTGTTAATGACTGGTCTCAAAATCTGAACCTACAAATTTAAAAATAATTTGCAATGATTTTTTTCGCGTTAGATGGCAGGTGTGTGTTCTTCACAATCAACAGCATTTAATTGTTACATTTAAGAAAAATGGGATGCAATTAATCTAATTTAAATTTATTTATTTCCATTTTTTTAATTTACACACCTTCTTATACACACAAACGAACACGCATACACACCGTCATACATCTACAAACACACACACATACACACACAAACACTCAACTTACACACACACACATTTCATTCCTAACACAACATATATTTCTTACATAATATAAAGAAATTATTTTACCAAAATCTGTTCGCTACACTGTGCTATCCGTCTAATATATTGGACGGCGCGATGGTGTAATGGCTAAGGTGCCTGACATTGTTGATGCAGCATCCGGGTTCAAATGCAAAAAAGATCCCCGCCTATCACATGCAAAAGTGTGTGATGCGTTGATTTACGTGTATTTATGCACCGTGTGTTTGTTGTTATAATGATAATGCGCCTCAGTCGCTTGCCATGGCGCTATGTAAAATGACATTATTATTATTATATCTAAGATATCTACTATTATTATTACTTATTTAATTCCTTATATCATGATATAACTCAATGATACACACACACATATGCACGAACCACACACACACACATACACACACATACACACACATACACACACACGCACACACAAACACACACACACACACAAACACACACACAGATACACGATTATATATTATGTATATAGTCATAATCTTAATCACATAAACTTCATCACTACCTCTAATTGTATAGAAGTTTTAGTAACAATGCTAGTTTACTTAATAATATTACTGCTACTACTGCAAACAATATTTTTTAAATTAACTTAAATTCACAAATACACGCATACGCACGCACACACACATACACGCACACACACACACACACACACACACACACAAACACACAATTTAATCCTAATATACCTCTATATACAATAAAGTTACATATCAGATTGTGTTTCAATCAATGAAAATGATTTTAGCACGTGTTAAATTTTTTTCATAAATATTTCTGTGTTGTTGTATGCTGGCAAATTTCAAAAATGCAAAATGTGTATATTTATTATTTTAATTTTAAAATTGTTTTTTTTACTTTATACAATACAACACAACGCAACACAACACAACACATTACAATATAACACAACACAATACAATATAATACAACACAATACAATATAATACAACACAACACAGCACAATGCGATACAACACAACAAAATAAAATACAATACAGTTTAAAAAGTTTTTTGTTGTGACAATTGAAAAATTTTAAACGGTTTTTGTCCTCGTCAAATTGTAGTTTATGAAACATTTCGTTAGTCCGCATTTTCACTGATAAATAAAGATGAAAAATTTGAATTTATATTTATTGAAACTAATTCGGACGCCAAGATCGAGTGATAATAGCGCGTTCTGCTTGGCGTCGCTGTGACGGGGTTTGAATGCAATCCGCTCCTACAACGTTTTCATAATAATAAATCTCAAGGTTTACCAGATCTCAAGTTTGTCTTCCTAGTTGGTAAAGTTCTTTGGAGAAATTACTAAAGAAATGAACTAAAATTAAGTGAAACTACTTTATAAGAAATAAATGAATGATTAGAGGAATGAGTGAATGAGTGGTGAACAAAAAATAAATAAATAAACAAATTAAATTAATCTATTTCAACAATGGACTTACATTCAAACACACAATAGAACCTTAAGGATTGCTTTTAAAGATTAAAGCTCACTCACACACACCACACAAACACACACGCACACACACACACACACACACACACATAAATTTATACACACATAACACTTGCACAATTCTTTTTAAAATGCAAATCATTTCTTCGTGTGCCTGTAAAGCCCGTGTGAAAAATATTTTGATTGGATCGTCTTCTCTCAGACTAAATGAACTTTCAACGTAAGTAAAATTTTGATTCATTAATTAATTCATTCATTAGCATATATAAAATAATTTAATCTATTCCTTATTTATAAATTAATTTATAAATTTAATAGCATAAGTTTATTTGTTGATTGATTAACATAACATAACAATGATTTTTTATAGTGATCCAAGAAGACTGTGTCTGTGACAAGACCCCTCTGAGACTTATTTTTTAATATCCTACTTTAAAGTTATAAGTTGTTTCTGCGCATATTATTTCATCTCCCAGTTTGTTCCACTCGTTGACAACTCTGCAGCTGAAAAATATTTGCTTTATCGATCCCGAACTTTTTTATGGCCCCTTGTTTTACTGTTCATCTTAAGCTCAACAAATTTAGCTGATTCCAAATTCTCTTTCATAATGATGATTTTGCATGCCTGAATCAAAACTTCTTTTTTCTTCTTTTTTCTAATGTTTGTCAATCCACAAACTTTTAATCTGTCTTCATATACCATACCGCGACACTCCTTCATCATTCTCGTTGCCCTTCTTTGAATATTCTCGAGCATAAGTTCGTCCTTTTGTAAATCTGGATTCCAAAGCTGAACACAGTACTCCAACTTATTTCGAACCAATGCTTTATAGAGGTTAATATGACGATCGTATTTCTGCTTTTCACTGTTCGTTTCATCATACCCAGAATCCTGTTTGCACTTTTAGCTGCCTCGATGCATTGCCGCGCTCCCTTACCATTCCGATGAATTATCATCACCACTGGATCCTTTTCCTCTTCTTCATTTTTAGTGGTGTGTTTCCAAGTTTGAATACGTTTGCCTTGTTGTTCGCTCCCATATGGATGACTGCACATTATTTGTTAGTGTTGAATACCATCCGCCAATCCTCTGCCTATTTGCATATTATTTGTAAATCGAATTCTAGAATTTCATCATCTTCATCGTTGTCTACAACAGCACATAATTTAGTGTCATCGGCAAATTTTGAAATTTTAGACTATTCCTAGATCAATACCATCGATGTATATTACAAATAGCAACGGTTCTAATGCGAATCTTTGAGGAATCCCACTTGAAACATTGCTCCAGTTTGAGAAATATCAATACCAACTTTTTGCCGTCTATCTTGTAACCAATTAGAAATGCACTTGAGTTTGTCTCCTGTGTTGCCTCTAATTTTAAGGCCAAACCTTTATGCCGTACCTTAACGAAAGCTTTAGCAAAATCTAAGTGCACAATATTCACTGCTTTTTTTGTCCAAATTTTCATAAACCTCTTCAAAAAAGTCAAACAAATTTGTTAGTTTGAAACAAATGTGCTGCTCTTAATTAAAAGCAAGAAAAAAAACATTCATACGTGCTGTATGTTAACGATAAACAGGGCAAAAAATGTTCCGCTCATTTGTGCTCATTTCATCTGCAAATTGTAGTACTTGCTTACATTGCCCAAACATACAAAACGGTATAAATAAACATACACGTACACACACATAGTAATAAACATACTCGTACACATATATAAACAACAAATGATTTTATAAACCTAATATAAATAAACATACAAATATACACACACATACGCAAACAAACACATACATAAATTTATGTATAGATAATATTAAAACACACACACACACAAACACACACACATATATATATAAATATGTATTATATATACACATATGTATAACATGTATACCATACATACTATACATATATTTGTATGTTTATATTGCGAGTATGGATTAAGTGAATGAATGAATGAATGAGGGAATGAGTGAATGAGTGAGTGAGGGAGTGAGTGAGGGAGTGAGTGAGTGAGTGGGTGAATGAGTGAGTGAGTGAGTGAGTGAGTGAGGGAGTGAGTGAGGGAGTGAGTGAGTGGGTGAATGAGTGAGTGAGTGAGTGAGTGGATGAGTTTACTTTTGAACGGGCTGACTTAGTGAGGTGAATGCATTGCTGCTGTTGTAATGATGTGGAGATGTTGCCTCGTTTGTAATCTTTTGTTTATTCTCTCTTTCGAATTTATAACAGCGAGTAGAGAATTGTAATAGTAATAATAATAATATTGATAATATTAACAACAACAATAATAATAATACAAATAATAATAATAATCGGATATAAAATTTTGTGTTTTTCATCAGAAAAATGGTTATTATTAATTTTTTCTGTTTGTTTTTTGGATTCAGAGTTAATTAAGTCTTTAAAAAAATTTCCGTATAAAATATTATTTATAAAACTTAATATACAACAGGTTTAGAAGTAATCAATAATAATAATAATAATATTAATGAATAATAATAATAATAACTTTTGTTCATCTTATTGTTATTATCTCCGTATGTATTGAAGCATTTCTAAAGTTGCTCGTTATAACTCAACCAACAAACATTCGGTTTTTGTCTGTTTGTGTTTGTGTGGCTGTGTCTGTCTGTGTTTGTCTGTGTTACTGCTATCTTGAGTTCATCTGATTAATCACATTTTATTTTCCATGTATGAAAACATTAAGTTCGTTGGAGCACGTTTCTTATATTATGGTGTTTAATATGCATTAGAAAGTCTCTGTATTATTTTTCTTCAGTTGTTTGTTTGTTTTAGTATGTGTGTGTGTTTGTGGTGTTGGTGTGTATTTGTGTGTGTATTTATGTGTATGTTTGTGTGATACACGCGTGTGTCTGTGTTGACATATTAGACATTTTGTTTAAATTTTAATTTTTGAAAAATTTAAAATTTGAAGTGTTAATGTTTCTACCAGGCAATGGTTTAAAAGACTGATTTTCACTGTGATAACAACGACGACAGCTACAACATCCACAACAGTCGCAACCACAACAACTTCAAAAATAACAACATCAATGTTGTTACTCCATAGCATCAGCAATTATCGATAACAACAGAAACACCACCACCACCAACAACAACAACAACCACAACAACAACAACATTCTCGTCTTAGAAACAAACAAACATTACCGACAGTTAAAATAATTTTCTGAAACAGCATCACTCTGAATCATTAGCCGGCTTTGAAGATGATAACAATTTCGAAATTATCTTCTGCTGGGATGTTCTTGTCGTTCTTAATATTCTACTTAGGTTAGATATTTGATTTCGATTGTTATGTTTTTAATGCGCTTCCTTTTAAATTGTTTGAATCGAATGATGTACGTTCGTACGTCTTAAAATCGGTTCTAGCATTGTTAAAAGCAAATTGTTTGTTTTCAAGATATGATTTATAAATTCAGATTTTTAACATGGATCATTTTATTTCATGTTAAATGATAATGGTTCTCTGAAATAGTTCTGGTCAACTTTCCGCCATGTTCTGGCCAGAACCAAGCCCAGTTGAAACAGCAACAGCAGCAACAACAACAATTAATTCAGAAGCAACAACAATTGAAACTTCTGCAACAACAACAAATTTTGAAACAACAACAACTGAAACAACAGCAGCTACAGGTGAAACAACAAAAACTGTGAGTATTATTTTGAAATTATATAGGGATACAGGGTAGCTATAGGGGCGGTGAATTAATGGCAAGAGATGTGCCAGATTCTGTGCACTCCAGTGACCAGGTAGTAGCGCCGAGAAGTTTCTACTCATCGTATGCTCCAATGCAAAAAACTTTATTTAAAATTGTTATTTTAGGTTACTGATAAGTTATTATTTGTCAATGATTATTGCATTTCAGTGAAAATAACTTTTGAAGTTTTTTTTTTTTATAAAAGTGAACCAGTTGGAAAAATAGTGGGCAAAGTTAGCAGCACAGTAAAAGACTTCCCGGCACAGACGGCAAGAACAGTGAAACAACAACTGCAACAACAACAACAACAACAACCTCAGGATAAAACAAAACAATCCGTCCAGCAAACATTAGGAACAACAAAACAAAATGCTCAAAAAGTTTTAACAGCAGTTCAGAGACAACAGCAACAACAGTTAGAAAAAGTAAAAAATGTCGCTCAACAGTCGGCCACGAAAATTCAACAAAAGGCCAAACAAACAGTTCAAACGTTAAGCAAACATCTCGATAGCACGGCCAACAAACTGAAGACAGCCGCACAAAGCAAGGTCAACGTTGAAACAAGGGATGAAAAGAGTTTCGCCTCGAAAGCAATCGAATTCGTCACTAAGTCGGCCAAAAACTTGGCAAAGAAAGCGGCAAACATGATTCCTCAGAGGAAGCCGAGTAAGCAAACAGATGCGGATGGGAAGATTAAAGTTGAAAGTGTGCCAGCGAGGAAACCTTCCAAGAACGTTGAAGCATCTATCAAATCAGCATCATCAACTCTGGCGAGTAAAAAATTAGTTTTATTAAATTATGAGAGATTCATAACGTCGTTGATGTTTTTTTTTGTTTGCCAGGTTAAACAAGCGCCAAAATTATCGAAGGATGTGAAAGCAACAATTGCCAGCAAGAAGATCGATAAAAAGTTGGATACCGATGGGGATGGCATTCCCGATTATTTGGACGAGGATGATGATAATGACGGAATACCGGATTATCTTGATACTGATGACGATGGTGATGAGATACCTGATTCCCAAGAGGTTGATTCCGATGGCGATGGAATACCGGATTACCTGGACGATGATGATGATAACGATGGAATACCGGATAGCGAAGATGACGACGACGATGGTGATGGCATTCCAGATTATCTTGAAAATTTGGATACAGATGGAGACGGTATACTGGATTATCTGGATGATGACGACGATAATGATGGGATACCTGATTCCGAAGATGATGACGACGATGGTGATGGAATCCCTGATGACCAGGAAACGGACCGATTATTGGATACAGATGGTGATGGGATACCGGATGTATACGACGACGATGATGACAATGATGGAATACCGGATAGTGAAGATGATGATGATGACGGTGATGGAATACCGGATAAAGATGAACTTGTGGATACAGATGGTGATGGGATACCGGATGTATACGATGACGATGATGACAATGATGGAATACCGGATAGTGAAGATGATGACGACGATGGGGACGGCATTCCTGATTCCCAAGAGGTTGATACGGATAGCGATGGAATACCCGATTATTTGGATGACGATGACGACAATGATGGAATACCGGACAGTGAAGATGATGACGACGATGGTGACGGTATTCTGGATTCTCAAGAAATCGATACAGATGGTGATGGCATACCGGATTATTTGGACGACGACGATGATAATGATGGAATACCGGATAGTGAAGATGATGACGACGATGGTGATGGCATTCCCGATTCTCAAGAAGTTGATACCGATGGTGACGGCATACCGGATTATTTAGATGACGATGACGACAATGATGGAATACCGGATGATGAAGATGACGACGATGATGGTGATGGCATTCCCGATTTTCAAGAAATTGATACAGATGGTGATGGCATACCGGATTACTTAGACGACGATGATGATAACGATGGTATTCCGGACAGTGAAGACGACGATGACGATGGAGATGGAATACCGGATAAAGATGAACTTGTGGATACAGACGGTGACGGCATTCCAGATGTATACGACGACGACGATGATAATGATGGCATACCGGATGATGAAGACGACGACGACGATGGAGACGGTATCCCAGATCACTTAGAACGGGATACGGACGGTGACGGAATACCGGATTATCTAGATGATGATGATGATAACGATGGCATTCCGGATGATGAAGATGACGACGATGACGGTGATGGTATTCTCGATGTTGATGAGCCTGACAGTGATGGGGACGGCATACCGGACGATCTTGATGACGATGACGACAACGACGGATTGCCAGACTACTTGGACGATGACGACGATGGCGATGGTATCCCAGATTCCCAGGAAATTGATACAGATGGTGATGGAATACCGGATTATCTTGATGACGATGATGATAACGACGGTATACCGGATAGCGAAGACGACGACGATGATGGTGACGGAATACCAGATGCTGTAGAAAATTTAGATACCGATGGTGATGGCATACCGGATTATCTTGACGACGATGACGACAACGACGGCATTCCCGACAGCGAGGATGACGACGACGACGGAGATGGAATACCGGATTATAAGGAAATCGATACAGATGGTGATGGCATACCGGATTATCTAGACGACGATGACGATAATGACGGCATTCCGGATGATGAAGACAACGACGATGATGGCGATGGCATCCCGGATGACCAAGAGAAGGATTCTGACGGTGATGGCATTCCCGACTACCTTGATGATGACGACGACAACGACGGAATACCTGACGTAGATGATGACGACGATGATGGTGATGGCATACCGGATAGTAAAGAGCTTGATACCGACGGTGATGGCATACCGGATTATCTTGACGACGATGACGATGGAGATGGCATACCGGATGATGAGGATGACGATTCTGACGGTGATGGCATTCCAGACGATCAGGAAAAAGATACAGATGGCGACGGAATTCCGGATTATCTTGATGACGACGATGATAACGATGGAATACCGGATGCCGAAGACGATGATGATGATGGGGACGGAATTCCTGATAGTCAGGAGGTTGATTCTGATGGCGATGGAATACCGGATTACCTGGACGATGATGATGACAACGATGGAATTCCGGATAGCGAAGATGACGACGACGACGGCGATGGCATTCCGGACCGTCTTGAGAATTTAGATACAGACGGTGACGGCGTACCGGATTACCTAGATGACGATGACGACAACGATGGAATACCCGACTACCTTGATGATGACGATAATGGCAATGGGGTACCGGATCACTTGGAAAAAGATACGGATGGAGATGGCGTTCCGGATTACCTTGATGACGACGATGATAACGATGGGATACCGGATAGTGAAGACGATGATGATGACGGCGACGGAATACCGGATAAAGATGAAATTGACACTGATGGAGATGGCATTCCGGATGACATTGATGATGATGATGACAACGACGGAATACCAGATGATGAAGATGATGACGACGATGGTGATGGAATTCCCGATTCGCAGGAAATTGATACAGATGGGGATGGAATACCGGATTATCTAGATGACGATGATGACAATGATGGAATACCCGATAACGAAGACGACGACGATGATGGTGATGGTATTCCTGATACGTTAGAGAAGGATACAGATGGTGATGGCATACCGGATTATTTAGACGACGACGATGATAACGACGGTATTCCGGATAGTGAAGACGACGATGACGACGGTGATGGAATACCGGATAAGGATGAACTTGTGGATACAGACGGAGACGGAATTCCGGATGTATACGACGACGATGATGATAATGATGGCATACCGGACAGTAAAGACGACGACGACGATGGAGATGGTATCCCAGATTCAGAGGAAATAGATACGGACGGGGACGGAATACCAGATTATTTGGATGACGATGACGACAACGATGGCATACCGGACAGCGAGGATGACGACGACGATGGCGATGGCATTCCGGATGTTCTTGAAAGAGATACTGACGGTGATGGTATTCCCGACTACCTAGATGATGATGACGACAACGATGGGATACCCGATTCGGAGGATGACGATGACGATGGGGACGGTATTTTGGATAAGGACGAGTTGGATACGGATGGTGATGGCATTCCCGATGATCTGGACGATGACGACGACAACGACGGCATACCGGATCATCTTGATAACGATTTGAACAACAACGGTGTACCGGATGCTGAAGAACTCGATACAGATGGAGATGGCATTCCCGATTATCTTGACGACGACGACGATAATGATGGCATTCCCGACGTGCTGGATGACGATAAAGATGGGGATGGCATTGTCGATGATGAGGATGGGGATGGCATACCGGATAATGAGGAAGAAGAAGTCAAAGATAGCCCGAAGAGCAGTCGCAAGAAACACAGCATCTCAGGCGATGATGACGAAGACGATGCTGGATTGATGTTTTCCAAGCGGGATAGTGACGGGGATGGCATTCCGGACTACCTGGATGACGACGACGATAACGATGGCATTCCGGATCGATTAGATACAGATTCAGATGGTGACGGCGTTGCAGATGAAGATGATCCAAATTACGCCACGAAATTTCTAAAAACTGTCGCCAAATCAAAGTACAAATCAGTCGAACCCCAGGAAGACCTTGACCTCTGGGATTTTATGACTACCTGGTACTTTGACAAGAAATCAGATGAAGCAAGCGATGACGCAGATAATAAAGATGACGATGGTGATAGTAAGAAAGGTGACGATGGTGATAGTAAGAAAGGTGACGATGGTGGAGAAGATGGGGATGGTGACGGGAAAGATGAATCGTGGTTTGGAATAACGAAAAAAATGAAGAACTGGTTGTTTAAAAGTAAACCCGCGGAAGAGAAAAAGAGAGATTGAGGTTTCAGCTGATCCTATTTTAGTTATTTACGTACTTATTTTTGCGAGGTTATTTTATTTGGAATATAAATTAATTATTTCAACCTTTTTTGAATTATTTTTTCATTTTTGTTAAAAATCAAAAGAATAATTTCAAATTATAAATAATAAAATTTTTTTCAATTAATGTTCCGATGTAGTTTACATTTTCTAAATTGTTAAATAGTCGTTAGATATTTTATAATTTTGTTTATTGTAAAATGATTTTTTTAAATATTCATTTTATAATTTAATTCTTTTTGATTATATTTTATGAAATTTTTTGTTAGATTTTTCATTTCGCAAAGTTATTAACTCAACTGTAAATCACTATTCTTTTCTGCGCCGTTCGTCTGTACATGATTCAACCCTTTTTTCAATTTTGTTTTTAAATTTTAATTTATTCCTTTCGGTAAATGATATGTGCGAGTTGTTTTGTGGTTGTTGTGTAAATAATGTTGAAAAATGAAGAGTGTCTTGTTGTTTGATTGAGACGCAAGAAAATCCGCAAACAAATTGTCAATTTCTTTAAAAATAAAACAAGCAAATGGTACAGAACGATCTAAAAAAAACCCAACACTTAGTGACGACAAATTGCTAAAAGTTTCAAAAGACTATGACATTGATCCATTCATTAATAATCGTTGGGAACAACCGATGCAAGATTTTATCTTGAAAAAACTGTTGTCTGTCTGTCTCTCTGCATGCAGTTGGTTCCTTCAATGTACGACATGTCACTGTCCCTTTCTTTCCGTCTGGTTTTGAGCATTTGTTTGCAAAACTATGTGTGCTTTTGTTCCTATGTGTATACAAATGAAATGTCTCGTAAGCGTCGAACTGTGATTTCAATCCCAACTTTAGTTTTTCAGCACGTAGCTCTGATCATTTCTTTTCATCCAAGCACAGAAATATCGCTTTTATAAATTGTCGAATGTCGAGCGACCGGTGCTGGCTGGCTGCGTTTTCTTCTTGGTGCAAATTTTCAATAGTTACTAAAAAATATAACAAAATTATTCATAACATGATAGTTGGAAACGGCAAGTGGGGTTTCAAAATTTAGCTAATTTAAAGTGTGCATTGAAACAACATTTGCAAACTTTCTGACCAACCTTTGTACGTCTCACATTTAAAATCGTTTTTTTTGTAAAGAATGTCGTTTGTTTAAAAATTTCATTTAATCTTCAATGAAATACAGAAGAACCTCGAAATAATTTTTATATTATTTAACAATTATATTGCGGTCTCAATGGGTAAATTTATAAGGCTGATTGTGCGTGCACATACGCAAGTTGTATAGTATGAGTACATCAATTGCATTAACTAGAATGTTCAGTTTTGAATTTTACCAGGCTTATCTACAAATTGCAATTTAGCATGTTAACCTGAATTGAATACTGTGTATGTGTGTGTGTGTGTGCTTGTGTGCGTGTGCTCGTGTATGTGATCATTCAAATTCTATTATACATTTTCTTCAATTGTCAGTTGACCGATTCAAAACAAGTTTATTTAAACGTTTAAGTAACAATAAGTTATACATTTCTGTTTTTTAATGACCTAAGCGTAGGCACACAATATCACGCACGCACGCACACACACACGCACAGACAGAGTGCCGCCGAAAATCCTAGCGAGAAAATAATTTATCGTGAAGGAGAAGCAGAGGTTAATTGACTTCTCTAGGAGAAAAATTTCGCTGCAGTCCTTTCAGACGAAATAATGATAATTTTTACCATCAAAATTATTATTTGATAGGGTGATTAAAATTCAAGACAGGAATGATTGTAATGGTGCTGATGATCGAACTATGATGACGATTTGATGGTTTTAATGAGGAGGAAGATCTGATTATTTTAACGATGGTGATGGTAGTGATTAAATTGAGGGTGATTACGACGATGATGATGTTTATGATTGTGATGATGACGATGAAGACGATGATGATGATGGGGATGATGTCCAAAAAAATTAATATTACAAAAAATAGAATCAGTAAAAATAAAAAAGGGTTCATGAAGAAGAAGAAGAAGGAACAATGAGAAAGAAGTAATCATTATGGTGCGCTTGATAAAATTTGTATAAAAATTCAAAGACTGGCTGGATGAATTATATAGCGCTTTATGAGGTTGCTTGGTGGTGGTGAAGATAATGGTGATGATGATGATGATGGGGATGATAACACTGGCGGTGATGATGGTAGTGATGGGAATGACGATGATGATAATACTGGGGGTGAGGATGATGATGGAGATGATGATAACGATCGTGATGATACTGGCGGTGCTGATGACGTTCATGATGGTGGCGATGATGTAATCACGTGATGATATGTGGTGACGTAATTATACGATGACGCGATGATGCCAGGCTGATTTGATGTGCTTATTTTGTTGTTTAATATTTTGTATAGTGTAAAAATTGATGATGCGGACGATGACAAAGAGTGGGAGAAGAGAGAAAGAAAGAGAGAGAAAGAGAGAGAGAAGGAGAGAAAAAGAAAAAAAAAGAGAAAGAAAGAATGAAAGAAAGAGATAAAAGAAAGAAGAAGAAGATAGCGGCAAAATATTATGATAAAAAAGTTAATTGTTCTTTTAACGGTTGAACAGTAAAACGTTTATGTAAAAGATGATGATGATGACGACGATGATGATGAAGAAGATGATGATGAAGACGATGATGATGATGAAGACGATGACGATGATGATGAAGATGGTGATGATGATGATAACAAAGTGCGCCTTCCTAAGTTTCCTTATTTGAATATTGTTAATTTATGTCTTTTAATATAAAGTTTTTTTGCTTTTTTATTGTTTTTGTGATTGCCTCGATATGATGATGATGATAATGATGATGACGACGACGATGATGGTGACGATGATGATGACGATGATGAGGGTGACGATAATGATGATGACGATGATGATGATAATATTTCTTAGTTTAAAAACCACGGCGACGATGATAAAAAGAAGATGATGATGAAATTAGGGAAAAATAAATTAAATCATCAATCATTCATTATCGCAAGCATTTGTGATAATGATTTTGTGTGTGTCTGTGTGTGTATGTGTTCGTGTCTGTGTGTGAATGTGTATGTGCGTGTATGTGTGTGTCTGTGTGTGTGTATGTGCATATGGCTATTTGTGTGTGGTCGTATCATGAGACATATTTTTTTACATTGAATTATTATAATTTATATTAATTATAATAATTCAAAACATTAATAACAATAAAAATGATAATAATACCAACAACAATAATTATAATATATTAACGAAGGTGTCAAATGCATCACGTTCAACAATTGCCTATTCAGAAATACATCCAAGGATTGATTGATTGCTGGCTGGTTGATTGATTGGTAGGTTGATTAACTGGTTTGGTTGGTTGGTTAGTTAGATGGTTGGTCAATTGGTTGGTTGGTTGATTGGTTGGTTAGATAGTTGGTTGGCTGGTTGGTTAGATGGCTGGCAAATTGGCAACAGTTGTCAATTGACGTTCTTTTTACATTTGCAACAATGCCTGCTTAGAAATTTGGACATTGGATGATTAAAATTGGAGCAATATAATTGGTTTAATTTTTAATTTTATAATAAAATCTTTCAAAACTTAATCGAAAATATTAAAAATTGTTCAAAGAAAAATTTTGCCAAGAAAGATTCAAAAAAAATAAAAAAAATTTGAATTAAGAAAAAAAAAATGAACAGAAAGAAACGAGCAAGAAAGAAAAAATATTATTAAATGATAGGACGATCACGTGACCCTATCAGATTGCATTCTTCCTCTTTCACTCCTTCCTTCCTTTATTCGTTCTTCCACTCATTCATTATTTCACTCATTCACTCATTCATTCTCCCACTCATTCATTATTTTACTTATTCACTCATTCATTCTCCCACTCATTCATTTTCCCACTCATTCATTCTCGCACTCATTCTCTCTTTCCTTATTCTTGCGTTTATTCCTTCGTTCGTTCTTTCATACATTCTTTCATTCATTCCTAAATTCACTTTTTCGCTATTTTGTTTATTCATTCATTCTTTCATTTCTCCTTCCCTTTTCACTTATTCATTCCTCCCTCCTTCATTCATAAATCTCTCGTGACGTCACGATCTAATGAATAAAGATGAGGGCATGGTGTGCTATGGCGTGCGGTATGTGCGTGCATGTGTGTATAGTTTGTGAATTGGTGTGTATGTGTGTGTGTATGTGTGTGTGTGTGTGCATGTGTGAGACATTATTAGTTGTGCGTGTGTGTGCGTGTGTTGTTGCTGTGTACGTCTGTGTGTGTGTATGCGTGCGTGTGTGTGCGCGTGTGTATAGTTGAGAGTTGGCTATGTGCTAGTGTTGCTGGTTGGCTGTTGTATGATTTTGAAACCTCTGATGTCATCTTCATCAGCAAACGAGTGTGTGAAAGAATGAATGAATTAATAAATGAATGAACGAACGAACAAACGAATGAATGAACGAACGAACGAACGAACGAACAAACGAACGAACGAATGAATGAATGAATGAATTAAGTAAATGACTGACAGCTAGATTGAAGAATTCATTGTTGAGTGTGAATTTAAATAGTTTTGCAGTAGATCAATACTTGAGTTAGTCTTAAAATGATAAAATGACAGTTGATGATGATTGAGATACTCAATTTAATTAAAATTTTATTTGAAAAAGTTTTGACATTTTCATTAAGTGATGAATGACTGATTGAATGAATGACTGAGTGAATGAGTGTCTGAGTGACTGAGTAGTTGAATGAATAATAAAAATGAGTAAAAGGATGATGATGATAGCTATGATAGAGATAAAATTATGAGCAAAAAGTGATAAACTACAATGAAAATGATTATGAAAATAATTCTAGGTATAATTCTTTATTCACATATTTGATTAAAATAAGATAAAAGAATGTGCCCATGAACGGAAATGGAAAAGTTTGATTGCTGATGAAATGATGAAGTTGTTGATGATGATGAAGATAG